TTTATCATTTCTCTTATTCTAGTAGTTATTTACAATATTAAATTAGTTAGGTAGTTAGATTTATTTAAATTAAATATTGTATAGTCCTGAAGGAAATACTGTGTCTAAATAAAGATTTTACCTTTACCTTACCTTACCATTGATTGAACTTTGTAATGATCCACCAGAGGTATTGCTGGAACTTGTGTTCATCAAGGTAACTTGAGTGAGATTCAGATCATTCCTGAAACAGCACATAAGCACTGATGGAGGCATTGCAGCCATTTTAACTGTTAATGTGAAAGTTTTTTCACATATTGCATACCTCCTTTGCTTTTTATGCTAATTTATATGAGCAATGTTATTATTCTAGAAAAAATCTGGAGGAATTGTTTTGTTATTATGTTTTTGAAAATTAATAAATGTCAAAATGCTGTTGTTGTTTCCACATTGAACTATTAGTACTAATTTCCAATCATTGCTGATCTTGCTGTTGTTTCCTCAGAACTTTGAAGAGTTCCCTGAACACAGAACAAACTTCTTTCTCCTTCTCCAAGCTGTGGTTCAGCACTGTTTTCAAGGTAATTAGGCTTTCATGTAGTCTGGGAGATGCTGGTCTAATGGGCAGTGCATTACACTAGGGATGAAGAGGTCTGATTTCAGTCCCCTGCCAGCATCCTCAGGTTTTGTTCCTGGGCACTTCACATGAAACTCTGACAGTGCCTCTCTCCACCCAGGAGTATAAATGGGTCCCTTACAAATTACTGGGCAACCCAACAAAGGCTCTTCTACCATGGGTTACCTTACCATTTAGGGGAGCAATACTCCTGTGGGGACCTCCATATGAATTGGACGGGGGTGCTTGTCATACCTTTAAAAAGTGCTTTTGGTATCTCTCAGGATGTTCAGCCTCAAAAGGTCCATAGTGGGAACTTTACAGTTCCTGTTAGGGTATTGAGCTGAAACAAATACGAAAAAAGATAATGTGTTGTTAAAGAATTGGTACCTCTTAGGAATTAAAAAACAATTTGAAGCCATGCCAACAAAACAGCATCTTAGTACCTCTTAGGTTTTTTTTCAAAATATGCGACAAGCACCTCCATCCTTTTTATATGGGAGTCCTCCCTCC